CCACAAACTTGTACAGACCGTACCTGCTCTGAAATGCGGTTTTGTATTGATCCTCGGGCCGGATGACAATCTAATGGTACTCAGACTTCATGTCTATGTTACTGAAGTACCGACACCCTTGCACTCTATCTAGCAAATCGTCGATGCGCGTGTGCGGCCCACAACTCGGATTTTGGGCCTGTGCCACACCGAGCAGCCCGCCGGTCAGTACCGGTCCTTAGGAGGGTTAGGCCTCCGGGGCAGTCGAGTCGTCAGACACAACCTTTAGCCCTACTCAGCCCGTGTGGGTTTGGTCAACAAGGCCCTATCCTTCATTAACGGAGTCCTATCACCTGGACAAAAGAGACTCAATGCAGACAGAAGAGACAAACAGACTCAGACTCAGCAAGTACCATAGGGTGAGTGCACATCCATAGGGCGAGGGGATAGGCTAGGGGCTTGGCGAGATTATACCAACTCCAGCTTGGTCAAAATTGTGATCAGCAGCTCCGTTCAACGCCTTGGTCATTGGCTCAATACTTCATTGTATTTCTCTTTATGGATGGTTTTGCGGGGGGTGCTTCCATCGATAGGATGACCAAAATCGAACCAACATGTGGAGGGAGAGAGAGAGAGGGGAGGGGGGTACCTCCATCCATAGGATGACGAAAACCGAACCAATCTACCACTACAACATGTGTACCTCCATCGATCGCATGACCAATATCGAACCAATGTGTAGAGAGAGAGAGAGAGAGAGAGAGAGAGAGAGAGAGAGAGAGAGAGAGAGAGAGACAGAGAGAGACAGAGAGAGAGAGTGTACTTGAAGCGATGGAATCTTCCGCTACAACGTCGAAATACTCGCTGCTACACGTGTGAGGAACAAGCCCTCAAGTGGCCTTATCAAACATCACATTGTTCTGGGCCAAGACCCCAGCAAGCCAAGTGCCCGCCCTAAGTAAAGGCGGACCTGAATATTCGTCACAGGCCAAATTCGACAATTCCATATGTGGGTATTCAGGGTCTTGCAGCCCATCAGTTGGTTGAGTGAACGCGCGAGCCTCACTAAGCTGCGCCATACAGTTGGCCTAGGCCACGAAAGTTGTGCCTAGGCACATACACACAAAGCAGGGCCGATACATTGAGAAGCAGGCCGTCGGCCTCTGGAAAAGCAGTACAGCCGACGCACCTACCTGGGGGCCCTGCGCAGATGCAGCTAACAGCCCAAGTCTGGAGACTAAGGCCGTGCCCAACTGTAAAGGGCCCAGGCCCTCAACTGTAAGTCTCGTCCTGGGCACAGGGTCTGAGGTCCAACCGGAAGCTTCTGGAAGCTTCCAGCCAGGCCACACTCAGCATCCAAGGGGCTGACAACTCCCATGAAGGAAGTGAGGCAGCCCAGGCCAGACACACTGGCCAGCGCTGGCAATGCGGAAGTGCTGTTGTGCTTCTGCTTGATGTTGCGCTAATGCCAGGGGCGCTGATGGAGCGCTAGGAGGTGAGAGGTGCACTGCAGGGCAGCGAGGCGCAAGCGGCCATAGCCGGGCTGCTGGGCGCCAGGGGGTACAGAGGATGATCGGGTGGTCTTCAGGGAGTGAGGCGCTGTGTGGGGTAATCAAGGTCTGATTGAGGGTGACGAGATACATACCTGATACATGAAGAAAGGTCGCCGATGGTGTTGACAGTCATGTACATTGGTCTTCGTGAGCCGAAGTGATCCTGTTGTGTGAACCAGCTGTTGGGTAGAGTAGTATGGTAGAGTAGGCTGGGCGCTGTGCGGCAGACAGAGAGAGCGAGTCTGGACACTGTGTTGGTGTGGCCTACGGTCTTGGACATTGCCTCAATACTTCATTGTATTGCTCTTTATGGATGGTTTTCTCGGTGCATTTGTACTCTCTACTTGGGATACTACTATTTGCTCAGCTGTGTGATTTCGCAACTTGGTTTTATGTACATTGCTCATTCTCATATTCCTTGCAGTTTGGTATCGGAGCTGGTTGATGATCACCGCTTACCTGACACCGGTGACATTGTAACTTGGTGCGCTGAGGATGCTTCATGTGCGGTGGGGATACAATGCGCTGGTTTAATAGCGGGGCCTAGGTAGAGAGGCCGGCCGCTGGAAGGTTGTGGCAACTGCGTGGGAGCTGTGGCGACAGCGGATGTATGGATGATGATGAGAGTATGCTGAAGTGGCATTTTGGCTGAGGTGGCACTACATCGCGTTGTGGGTGGTACCGAAGATATTGACCGGTCATCGAAATGCACATCAGCCCAATTGGTGAGAAAACTGTGGTTGGGGGCAGCTATCTCCAGGTACGTTGTTCCTATTCCTTATCTACCCTCTCAATCTCTTCTTACCGTGAGGAAGTGAGTCCAACTTGAGTGTCCTCTCTTTGGTGAGGAGTCATGTGCACTCTATCTTGAGAGACGACATTCTTCCCGGTGGCGCATCTGGCGGGAGAGGGCGGTGCCTCTGAAGGGCCCTGGTCGAAGCACGTGGGTCATGGTCACCATGCCAACCCAATGGGATTAGTACACGCACGCGATGGCTGCTTTGTCCATTGAGGCTCTTTGCTGCGCTGATAGAAGGGGTGTGCGGACTGACCAGTCCTATTGAGACGCTCCCAGACCGTCTATAAACATTTCTGGTTGGGGTTTGAATTGAATACTGGTTGTGATCGTCGTCCTGTTTGCGACGTTAAATAATTCCTGAGGAGATGGGGGCTCTCCTTAAATCCCTCCTGATCAGCCAGATCATTCAGACGTAAGGCTCGTTGCACGCGAGGTTAAACAAAGGGGCAGGATTGGTCATAAGCATACTTCTTGGGCACAGGGATGGACCGTGGATGCACACCTTAGACACCGCAGCTTGATGATGCTCACAAGTACGTTGGATAGAGGGGAAGGGGATTCCAATTGTGAACTCAACTGTACATCATTGACATATCCATTGTGCATACATCTGCTCACATTAGTCTGAGTTTTATTTTGATTAGTTGGTTGACTGACTGCTGACACCTAACAGACAGACTAGAGTTAGGACTGTAATCTACCATAGTCAGTTCTACTCAAATCTTTTGTGCAGACTAATCATAATAAGACTTCGGCAATGTGTATAGTTTGAGTAGATGTTGTTGATGCCGCTTGACTAGTAGGATAGGTAACTCGCCGGACATTTATTTAATTGTTTATTTTTAGATCCGGTCAGACGCATGCTGCGGTAGGTTCCAGTGAGGACATTAGTGCAGACAGCGTCTGCCTAACCTATGAGTGGATCAGAGGGTGGTGAGGGTGCAGAAGACGGTAGGAGAGTAACAAGGATACAATCCCTTAGAATTCCTAGAGTGTTCCAGACCCTAGAACCGGGAGAAGAGAGAAGGTTAAGGGCAGAAGCTAGGGCCCGCAACCTTGAGGCTGCAAGAGTAGCAGCAGCCGCTAGAGCGGTTGCAATGGCCAATGGCACTTCCGCAGCATCTGCTGCAAACTCAATTGGTCAAGGGCTAGGCATGCCTACCAGTTCACAGTCAATCTCCACTAACTAGTCAGATGGCGGGCTCGCAGATCAGCTCGCCACCTCCACGCACCCGGGAGCAGATGGAGCTCCAACGAGTAGAGAGGATCCGCTTAAGGTTAGAGGAGGAACTTAGGCAGGCTACTAAAAGAGAAAAAGAGATCAAAGATAGAAGTGCTAGATTACACGGCAGGGAGGCAGATCAAGCTGCATTAGAAGGATTAGATGACTCGGCCCTCAACAACAATGAAAAGATTCTGAAGGCGAGCATCTTGTCCATGCATGCATACATGGACAGTAAACTGGATGCAATCCAGGACACCTTGGACCAGATCCTGAACGCTATGCATAAGCCAGGGATCCGGCCAGCAGCCTTACCATCGCTGCCACTCTCAACGATGACAGGCCTCTATGCCGCGCAATCTATGCCACCACCAAGTGTTCCATGAACAGTACCACTATCTCAGACTGTTCCTTCTTCATCTTCTGGTCCAGTGCCTGCTGCTACACAACAGACGCCACCTGTCTCACAACAGGGACAGCAATATCCTTGGTACCCCAAGACCCCACTGAACCCACCTTCAACCTTCTCAGGAGATTAGAAGGATGAGGCTCTCAACACATAGTTGAGAACGGTGCCAGTGTGGGTAAGGGCAAAGAGGACATTGGTAGAAGAGGAAGTGATTACTGTTGCATCCTACTTAGAGGGTTCAGCAACCCGTTGGCTAAACGGATTGGTAGCTTCAAAGGGCTTCGGCAGGAACATGAATGATTGGGCGCAGACCCATACATTAGAAAGCTTTATGGATTGAGTTGAGGCTCGATGGCACAACCCTCAGCAGGCACAGATTGTCGCTGATGGTCGTAGAGCGCCTGATCGTCGTCCCGGGAGTGGAGTACAATCCACAGGTCTTGTTGACCATGTTCCTGAGATGTCTTCCCACAGACCTTAAAAATTTATTAGCCAGCGAGGCTCGCAGAGAGTATCACACCTTTGAGTCATTCAACAAGAGGCCACGCTGGGTGGAGCTCAAACCCCTTCTACGGATGGGAGAAAGAAGAAGACTCCACAAGCGTGGAAGAAGAAGGGTAATCGATTGATGATGGTTGATTCCGATGGGAATCAAACCGAGATTGATGATGTTTCCGATCTTGTGGAGGGTTCAGAGTTTGACGGCGAGGAGAGTGCTGAGGGTAGCAACCTCGCCGTCGTAGTTAAGACTAAGGCAGCTGGCCGTGGCAAGGGCGGTCAACAAAGGAATCAGGACAGGCCGCTAACCCAAACAAAATAGCTGCTTGGGTCAGAGCAGGTCTGGATTAAGAAGTGTGGCGGGACCGTTGGTCTCGTGGTGCTTGTATTAACTGTGGTGAGTATGGTCACACCCAGTTTAAATGCAAGAACCCGAAGGTCTCGCAAAAGATCCCTCCTAAGGGTGGGTTGTCTTCTTCTCAATCCGGGGCCTCTACGAGTTCCAGTTCGGGAAACACTTAGGGCCAGTAGAAGTTATAGCTGCTTCTACTTTCGTTGAAGCGGGTGATGTACCCTCCCCGTTTCAAGAAATGGCCAAAGCTTTTAATTCCTTAGTCACCCCGCAGACGCATCCGGACCCAACTATACTCTGTACGTTGGATGTGTCAGAGGCCTTAGAGGACCTTCAAGGTGAGTGGTCGGCAAGGGACCCTCGTGAGTCCTGGGTGGCACTGGGTAGAGGTCCAAAAGGGGAGCACTTTGTTGTGGAAGTCGATGTGGGTGGTCGCAAGTGCGGCGCCTTCGTAGACATTGGCTCCACACGAAACTTCATAAGTCACGACTGCGTTGACAGACTGGGCCTAAAGGACCGGGTCCAGCGCCTTAGTAGACCGGTAGCATCTACTTTGGCCAACAAAGAGCTCATGATGTTGGAGGACTACGTTAAAGATGTAGTCCGCACCTTCTCTTACCCAGGAGGAGAGCTAAACCATAAGATATCATTCCTGGTGAGCGACGAGTTGCCCTTTGATATGTTATTGCGCATGTACTACCTCGAGGTTGCTAAGCCCCAGTTTGACTGGGACAAGGTGTTGAAGCACGAATTGCCTAGTGGGAGAACCGTGAGACTGGCCAAGTACAAAGCCAGTAGGTTAGTAGACTCCTATGGGTGCTTATGCGCATCATCCTTTTATAATTATTATAAACAGAACCCAGAGGAAGGAATGTACTTAGTTTATGTCTCTGCAAAAGGGGAGGCCGTTAAAACACCCCCAGAGATAGAGAACATCGTCGCGAAGTACCCTGATTTGTTCAAGGAGCCTACAGGAGTCGTAGACAGGGAGATTGTTCATGCCATAGAGATTATCCCAGGAAGTAAAACACCTAAGGGTAGAATCTATAGGATGGCTCCAGCCGAGTTGGACGAACTTCGGCGGCAACTGAAAGAGCTCACAGAGAAGGGTTGGATTCGGCCTAGCACTTCCCCCTATGGCTCACCAGTTCTTTTTTTTCCAAAGAAAAGGGGAACACTAAGGATGTGCATTGACTATGGAGGCCTCAATGCTATCACCGTTAAGAACGCAGAGCCTCTACCGCGCATCGACGACCTATTGGATAGGGTGCAAGGATGTAAGTACTACACAAAGATAGACTTAAAATCCGGCTACCATCAGATTGCCATTAGACCAGAGGACCGGCACAAAACCGCATTTCAGACCAGGTATGGTCTGTACGAGTTTGTGGTGATGCCCTTTGGCCTTTGCAATGCGCCGGGTACATTCCAGCACGCCATGAATAGGATCTTCCATGACTACTTGGACAAGTTTGTTGTCGTGTACCTCGACGACATACTTATCTTCAGTAGATCTGTCGAGGAGCATGCTCAGCATGTAGACATGGTACTTTCACTCCTTCGACAGCACAAGTATAAGATAAATACTGACCACGATCCCAGTTTGTGACTGAGGTCATATCATTCTTGGGAATGTGTGGTTATTACCGCAATTTCGTAAAGAACTATAGTACGATCGCATCTCCCTTGACTGATCTAACTTGACTCAATACACCATGGGACTGGACCGACGACTGTGAGGCAACTTTCAAGCGTTTGAAGCATGCTCTCACGCATCATGAGGTTCTCATGGTACCCGACCCGCAAAGGCCATTCGTTGTAACCACTGATGCAAGCCAATATGGGATTGGTGCAGTGTTGGCTCAGCAGGAAGGGAAGAAGTTGAGACCGATCGAGTACATGAGCAAAAAGATGCCTTCAAAGAAGTTGGCAAAATCCACCTACGAGAGGGAACTCTACGCTCTTTACAAGGCACTTGTCCATTGGAGACACTATCTGTTGGGAAGGTTCTTCTACTTAAGAACTGACCATCAGACCCTCGAGTGGATCAAGACGCAACCAGTTCTCTCTGATGCACTCAAACGCTGGATTGAAGTCCTAGATCAATATGATTTCAAACTAGACTATTTGAAGGGAGAGTACAACAAGGTTGTAGATGCGTTGTCTAGAAGGGCAGACTACCTAGGTGCGCTGATCTCTGAGTTTGGTTTGTCTGAGGAAGTGACTCGATCGTTGGATGAAGCCTACAAGGAAGATCCCATCACGATGGACATCATCAACAAACTTCAGGCTAAGGACAAGGCCACTACTGACGAGTTTGTGATGGTGGATGGATCGCTCTTTCTTGAGAAGGCAGGGTTCAAAAGGTTGGTGGTTCCATCTGGAGAGACTTTGCGTAGTTTATTTTTAGGTGAGTGCCACGACGCCACGGGACACTTCGGCTATAAGAAGACGAGTGCTAACTTAGTACAGCGATTCTGGTGGCCTAACATGCTTGACGATGTGAAGAAGTACGTGGAGACCTGTCAGGTCTGTCAGCGGGACAAGCCGCGGACTCATGCTCCGCTTGGGTTAATCAAGCCTTTACACATTCCTGCTGGTCCACGGCAGAGTATCTCCATGGACTTCATGGATACTCTTGCGACCAGCAAGAATGGCAAGACGCACATATTCGTCATAGTGGATAGGTTCACTAAGTACGCTAGACTAATCGCCATGCCAGAGACCGCCAGGATTGAGCACGTCATCAAGTTGGACAAGTGGGTGCGTGACTTTGGATTGCCTAAGACTATCGTTAGTGATAGAGATGTGAAATTCACAAGCGAGATGTGGAAGAAGGCCGCTGAACAGATGGGCAACCAGCTTCAGATGACTTCTGGAAATCATCCCGAAGCAAATGGGCAGGCTGAACAGATGAACCGAGTGGTGCAGCATCTGCTGAGGCATTACATCAAGCCCAACCAGGATGATTGGGATGAGAAGTTGCCTCTTGTCGTTAGTCTGTACAACAATGTTGTACACAACACAATCGGTGCCAGTCCTAATCAGCTACATCTCGGATGGAAGCCTAGATCCGCTCTAGACTTCCTCCTGCCTGAAAACCGAATTGCTGCAACTCATGGAACCATTGAATTTGGTGTCCAGTATGAGAAACTGCTGCAGCAGACTGTCAAACACATTAAGAAATCTCAGGAGGTCATGATTGTTTCTGAGAACAAGCGTCGTGGACAGTCCACATTTCAGGTAGGGGAACGCGTCTGGGTCAAGGCTAGTGAACTGGGACAGGAGTTTAACATCTCTAGGAAACTAATGCCTCAGTATTTCGGTCCCTGGGAAGTCCTGGATATCGTGGGGAAGGATTTGGATGGCCGCTCGTACATCATTCGTATCCCTGGTCACTTACACACTTACACTGTTTTCCACGCTTCCAAACTTGCACCTTTCGCTGAGACAGCACAGTTCCCATCAAGGAGATCTATGCTGCCCCCAACCATGGGTGGCCAAGTGGATGTCGACGACATCTTGGATCACAGAGATACGCCTGTTCCTAAGCCACCTGGCAGGGGAAGAACTTCCAAACCTGCGAGGGAATACAGAGTACATTTCAGGCATCATACAGATCCAAAGGAAGATCGATGGATTTCGAGGGAGGAACTTGTCAAGACAGCTCCTCAGATCGTGGCCGATTATGAGAAACGACTGAAGGGGAAGGCACCAGCATGACGCATCTCAGCGGACTCTCGAAGCTAAGGGGGATGGAATGTGAGGAACAAGCCCTCAAGTGGCCCTATCAGACATCACATTGTTCTGGGCCAAGGCCCAGCAAGCCAAGTGCCCGCCGTAAGTGAAGGCGGGCCTGAATATTCGTCACAGGCCAAATTTGACAATTCCATCTGTGGGTATTCAGGGTCTTGCAGCACGTCAGTTGGTTGAGTGAACGCGCGAGCCTCACTAAGCTGCGGCATGCAGTTGGCCCAGGCCACGAAACTTGTGCCTGGGCACATACACACAAAGCAGGGCCGATACATTGAGAAGCAGGCCGTCGGCCTCTGAAAAAGCAGTACAGCCGACTCACCTACCTGGGGGCCCTGCGCAGATGCAGCTAACAGCCCAAGTCCGAAGACTCAGGCCGTGCCCAACTGTAAGGGGCCCAGGTCCTCAACTGTAAGTCTCGGCCTGGGCAAAGGGTCTGAGGCCCAACCGGAGGCTTCTGGAAGCTTCCAGCCAGGCCACACGCAGCATCCAAGGGGCTGACACTTCCATAAAGGAAGTGAGGCAGCCCAGGCCAGACACACTGGCCAGCGCTGGCAATGTGCAAGTGTTGTTGCGCTTCTGCTTGATGCTGTGCTAGTGCCAGGGGCGCTGACGGAGCGCTAGGAGGTGAGAGGTGCGCTGCAGGGCAGCGGGGCGCAGGCGGCCATAGCCAGGCTGCTGGGCGCCAGGGGGTACAGCGGATGATCGGGTGGTCTTCAGGGAGTGAGGCGCTGTGTGGGGTAATCAAGGTCTGATTGAGGGTGACGAGATACGTACCTGGTACATGAAGAGAGGTCGCTGATGGTGTTGACAGTCATGTACAATGGTCTTCGTGAGCCGAAGTGATCCTGTTGTGTGAACCAGCTGTTGGGTAGAGTAGTATGGTAGAGTAGGCTGGGCGCTGTGCGCCAGACAGAGAGAGCGACTCTGGACACTGTGTTGGTGTGGCCTACGGGCTTGGACATTGGCTCAATACTTCATTGTATTGCTCTTTATGGATGGTTTTCT